GAGAAAACAGAGTCTATTGTTTTTATTCCAACTAATTCAAATCCAAGACCTACTCCACAGTTACCTTTAATGCCTGCTAATCATGGGGGAGACTTGCAAAATGATGATGGTGGTGGTTCTCTTATTGAGCCATTAGTTGGTGATCCTGAAGCAACTAATGATGATGTTGATGTTATTCCTGAACAGGTTATGCAGGAAGCTTCAGATGAGCCACAATTGAGAAGGTCAGCTAGACCTCGCCAACCTTCCACCAGATATTCTCCTCATGAGTATGTGTTGGTCACTGATGGGGGAGAGCCAGAATGCTTTGATGAAGCTATGTCACATGAGAAGAAAAGTGAGTGGTTGAAAGCAATGCAAGAAGAGATGAAATCCTTGCATGAAAACCATACCTTTGAGTTAGTGAAGCTTCCTAAAGGTAAGAGAGCACTCAAGAACAAATGGGTGTTCAGGTTGAAAATTGATGAACATTGCTCACAGCCAAGGTACAAGGCAAGATTGGTTGTGAAAGGCTTCGGACAGAAGAAAGGTATTGATTTTGAAGAAATCTTTTCACCAGTGGTCAAGATGTCTTCAATATGAGTTATGATTGGCTTAGCTGCTAGTTTGAATCTTGAAGTAGAACAACTTGATGTGAAAACTGCCTTTCTCCATGGTGATTTGGATGAGGAGATCTACATGGAGCAGCCTGAAGGTTTTGAAGCAAAAGGTAAAGAGCAGCTAGTTTGTAAGTTGAAAAAGAGCTTATATGGGTTAAAGCAAGCTCCAAGACAATGGTATAAGAAGTTTGATTCTTTTATGGTGGATCATGGTTATGACAGAACCACTTCCGATCATTGTATATTTATGAAAAGGTTTCTAAATGGAAACTATATTATTCTCTTGTTGTATGTGGATGATATGTTGATTGTTGGCCATGATGCTAAGAAGATTCAGATGTTGAAGGAAGAGTTGAGCAAGTCTTTTGCAATGAAAGACTTGGGACCAGCAAAACAGATTCTTGGTATGAAGATCACACGTGACAGGAAGAAGGGAAAACTTTGGCTATCTCAGGAGAGATATGTTCAAAAGGTACTTGAGAGATTTAACATGAGCAACTCCAAACCTGTTTGTTCTCCACTTGCAAGCCACTTTAAACTAAGTTCTAAGCAGTGTCCTTCAAGTGATGAAGAAAGAGATAAGATGAAAAAGGTTTCTTATGCATCCACAGTTGGTAGCTTGATGTATGTCATGGTTTGCACAAGGCCGGATATAGCTCATGCAGCTGGTGTGGTTAGTCGGTTCCTCTCCAATCCTGGTAAAGAACACTAGTCGGCAGTGAAATGGATACTCAGGTATCTCAAAGGTATTTCTAGTTTCAGCTTATGTTTTGGTAATAATAAGCCTTTGTTGAATGGATACACAGATGCAGATATGGCTGGTGATGTTGATTCTAGAAAGTCCACATCAGGATACTTGATGAAGTTTGCAGGGGGAGCAGTCTCATGGCAATCAAGGTTGTAGAAAATGTGTTCCATTATCCACTACATAGGTTGAATACATTGCTCTTACTGAAGGGGGCAAAGAGTTGTTATGGATGAAGAAGTTTTTGCATGAACTTGACCTAGTTCAAGAGAAATTTGTATTGCACTGTGATAGTCAAAGTGCAATCCATCTCAGTAAGCATCCTACTTTAGTAAGCATCCTATTTTTCACTCTCGATCAAAGCATATTGAGGTTAGATATCAATGGATTCGAGATGCTATGGAGATGAAGTCATTCGTTGTTGAGAAGATCCATATTGATGACAACATGTCTGATATAATAACCAAACCTCTACCGAGAGAGAAGTTTGAGTTTTGTAGAAGGGAAGCAGGCTTGTCAGAGCTTTCTAAATTGAAGCTTACATGTTGATTGCTGGTATGGCGAATTCCTCACATGGTGTGTGAGGGGGAGATTTGTTGTGTGTGGTCCCACACTATGTGATGGTGAGACCACTACATTAATTTTCAAGAGACAACATGACTGTCTCTTGGTATTAAAATTAATGTGGTTCGGGTACTATAGCGGTAGAATTGAAAAACAGAAGAGAGGAGAAGAAAACCGAGAGAGAAAAAGAGAAGAAGAGGTAGCAGAGCAGCCTGTGTTCAGAGCAGCCTGTGTTCTTTCTTTGATTTCTAGCTCGTTCACCGTTGGATCGGGCTAAGATTTTGACAGTAACTTCTAGACACGTTACTCTTCATTCTGGATGGTTGGCTCGAAGATTGGTGGTGTGGAAGCTGGTTGTTTTGACAGAAAACAGAGCTGTCAGTATTGTGAGTTTTTCTCAAATAATTCTCCTTTAATCTTGTTGTAATCCGAGAATAA